ACAGTTATATTTATGATCAATATTCCACCTACCAGTTCTTACTGGCATTGAAACCCTTCCAGACCCACTGAGCTTTGGGCTAGGTGGCCTGGGAGCAAGGCTGACCGCTGCGAGTCTTACTTCTCTTGGCTCAAATTTACTAGAGGAAGAAGAAACCAACAGCCCATATTTTCTCCCATAGTTAATTAACTCTTGGGCTACCTCCCCCCATGTCCGTACTTTGAATCCTGACTGCAGATGGTTGGGGGTTACAGTTTCTTCTAACACTGCCCAGTTTCTTTCTCCCTGAGACACAGCTAGTATCCTTGCTTGTAATTGTATGCCTATGGGTTTCAATGATTCCGCAAGCCCTCTAATTGAAGCAGTCATTCTCTCAGGATCAACAGGCATCATCATAGGTGATTCATGATGTGGCTGCAGCTTTCTATCATACATTTGGAGACAAGCCTTTCAAACAGCAGCCTTTCAAACACTATCTACTAACTAATCAGTTGTTCCAGTAATGGCAAGAGGGTCTCCCCTTTCTAAAGGGTTGAGACCACCTGCCCAATAGGCAGCCCTCTGTGTTAAGGACCAGGGAGCACGATTGTTGCCAGTAGTCAAAAATATTCCTGGTCGCCAATAAGCTTCTGCTTCCTTTTCTGTTAGCAGAATCTGGTCTCCACCAGTGAGACTAACCCTCCATACATACTCTGTTTCTGATTCCTTTGGAGAGCGGCTTAAATCTTTTTTTCAATTTTGCTAGTTCAATTGTTGAGAAGGGAATTTCCTTAAGATTTGTTTGAGGATCTAGATCCTCACTGTTATCGAATGTGCATTCGGTTTTTATCAAAGGATGCAGTGGGGCTAGATAAATTAGAAACCTTCGGGTTTCTAATTTATCTAACCTTTCCTTCATTCCTTGTAGTTCCTCCTGAGTAAAAGTTTTTTCTTGAGACAAACTGTGGGTTGACAGTATTGCTGGCATGCTTAGATGTTAACAATTCCTTAAAAGCCATTTGCAACAAAACCAAATTACGTTTCTCTCTTTCTAATTGTTCCTCAAGGTTCACTATTTGATTCTGCGGTTTTTACCAATTCTTGTGTTACTTTAACTGATTCCTGCAGTGCTTGTATAGGTTGGGTTTCTGCTGAATGCTTTTCATCTCAACTTCACGGCAGCTTTTAAAGCAGCCCCAAGTACTGCACAAATAAACGACTTTCCTTTTCCAGCTCCTGTACAAGCCTCATTTTTAGAACACTAATACAATCCGAAACACTCCGCAAGTTATACCAGTTCTGTCGTGCCCAATCCACACCTGATAAAGAGGGTCGAGCACAGTGTTTTTCAGAAAGATTAAATAATTCATCTTCATTTTTCATGGTGGCAATGCTGTCACTCATTTTTCAATACGCTGAAGGATATACACTAAGGGAGAAAGAGGTATACGTATTCAAAAGCTCAGGTAACGCCTTACCTTTCCCCGGGGAGGCACACAACACCTATTAAAGAAATGCAAATGCTCCAATCACTCTTCCCTTTCTCTGAGGGAAGCACACAAAAGGGCTCAGATTTCACACTTAAGTTACAAGATACTTAAATCACAGAATGCAGAGGTCTTCCCGAGGAGGCATGTAATCAAAATTAGTTCTTACTTCCCTGAGAGGTATGCAAATAAAAAAGTAAAGTTTCAGAATATGGAGTGGTATTCCTGGAGAAGGACTCACGTTTAAGTTTTCGCTCCATGCAACTCCAGGAGGTACACACAAAGAAAGTTTCAGACTATATCTGGAAGGACAACACTCTCGCGGTGGGTATCCTGCCTTCGACTACCATTAAATAAATGTCTCGCTCCGATTTATAGGAGGGAGAGGAGGCTCTTTTAATATCTGTATACCCGGCGTGAGATTAAGAAACAATGGTTCAAATGTTGGTCCAACCAGTCTATTATAGATCTTAGTTAGGAAAATGGGAAAGGGGAGGATAGGCACCATTATGAATTAGGGTAATGGGGAAGGGAGGGAGGGCGATAGAAAAGATAGGAAAGAAGAAGCAAGGAGTCTTTGTAGGCAGCAAGAGGGAGATAGTCACCATCACGGATCCAACGTGGTTCATAGTTCAGCCATTGATCTTCAGTAGTGGTGGGTCATCGGGCGTTGTTGTTCTGTTGACGACAACAACAACCATGGCGATGATGGCCCCTTTTCAATGTTTATATACGTATACAACACACATGAAGCTCCTTTGTGGGTGTAGAATTTTATTGGATTTCATATATTTTTACAGAACTTCAATGTTTTTAGCGCTTCCTGTTCAAAACATATGTTTAATCAACCTCAAATGCGGGTGAACACTCCTTCGTTTGCAAATTAATTTGTACAGGGCTTTGAGAAAACAAGTGTAAGTTTGATGTTTAAGTGAGAACGTTTCTGGGTTAATTTTATGTGCTTGATGTAAGCTTCTTAAACCTGGAAAGAAACTAATTCTTTGTCAGTGGATTGAGGCCAGCCATGACAGAGGCCTTGTCTATGTCAAAGACATGGCATGACTAACAAGGTACAAACATCACTTAGAACTGTTAAGAAACAAGAGCAGATTCTCAAAGCATTCATCCTTCTACAGATCAGATTTCTGGCTTTAGTGTTTCAGCAAAATTTCTAATGTTAGGATGGAGTTGGGTTGTTGTCCCACTCTGGACATCTTGTCACCTGGCAGCTAGCCCTCTCTCTCCTTGTGTCTTACGTCAGTATGTACATACCTTTACATCTGGCTATTGATCATGTTTTTCTGTTTTCTGCTGAACTGCAGTACTACATAGGACTTTTTCAGGAGTTACCATCAGTATCTTCAATCTCACCATTTTTCAGCTGCATCCATTTACACATTTTGTCCGCTCTCCGGTTTATTCTGTACTGCTTTACCTCCCATTGCTGTCCACTTAATTTCTTACCCCATAACTCAAGTTCATAGAATCACAGAAACATTAGGGTTGGAAGAGACCTATCTAGTCCAACTGCCCTGCAGTGAACAGGGATATGCACAGTTAGATCAGGTTGCCCAGAGCCCTGTCCAGCCTCACCTTGAAATTCTCCATGGACATGGTAACAGCCATATCACTTGGCATCCTGCTTCAGTGTCTCACCGCCCTCAACGTAAAAGAAGTTTTCCTTATGTCCAACTTAAATCTACCATTTTTAAGCCTGAAACCATTTCTTCTTGTCCTGTCACCACAGACCCTGCTGAAGTATCTCTTTCTTTCTTCCCTATATCTCCCCTTTAGATACTGAAAGGCTGCCATCTCAGTCTTCTCTTTTCCAGTCTGAAGAGCCTCAGCTCTTTCAGTCTTTGTAGGAGAGCTATTCCATCCCTTGAATCACTTTTGTGGCCCTCTACACATGCTCTAACAGATCCATGTCTCTCTTGTACCAAAGACTCTCCATCTAGACCCAGTACACCAGGTAAAGTCTCATCAGCACAGGGTATAGGAGCAGGATCACCGCTCTTGCACTGTTGGCCACATTGCTTTTGACGCAGCCCAGGATATAGTTGGCTTTCTGGGCTGTGAAGGTGCATTGCTGGCTCATGGCCAGGTTCTCATCTACCAGTATTCCAGGTCTTTTTCGTCAGGGCTGTGGTCAGTCCTCTCATCCACCAGCTTGTATTGACAGTGGATGTTGCCTCAACCTAGGGCAACGAAGACCTTCTGTTTGGATTTATTGAATCTCATGAGATTCAGCTGGGTCCTGTGCTCAAGCCTGTCCCTCTGAAGTTGCTTTCATCTGATTACTAAAAGAGCAGTAGAAGCAAAGGAAGGAGTATGTCTTTGGAAATTGCTATCACTGTAAGCTAACAATGACTTAGAAACAGTCTTGACAGAGTAAAGCTGCAAGATTTAAGTATGTTTAACATGAGACTTGATAGTTTCAAGCAAGTAGAACAAATTTTCATGAAAACCTATGGTGATTTCTGGCTCTACTGCAACTTGGCTGCCATATTTCTTTGCCCAGTTTGGAAAACGAAACAAAACAAAACAAACAGAGTAAATTTTATTTCTTTTTATTTTAATCTGTGATAAAAGTAATTTTCTTGATTTCAATCCCTTGCCTTTGTGAAAGTGAGGCAGAACAGCTGAAGCTTTTCAGACAGAAGATTTCTCTCTGAACAGTTCAAAATAATTGCTTGTGTGCTAAATAGCTAAAACTTATATTGGAATAGGAAATACTAGTTCCTGTTAATAATTAAAATAATTAAGTGCAAAAGATTTTGTGAGTTACAGTTCTGTGTTCCAAACAGTTGCCAGGTTGTATATATTCTGAAATTTTCTAATAGGTTTTGCTGCTGTGAATTCGTTTTCTACCATCTAAAAAGCACCTAGTGCTTTTAGGAAAGTAATATTTTGGGTTTTGAAAATTCTTACATACATTTTCTCTAAAAGAAGATCAGATGTCTTTAGAGAGAGCAAAGGAAGCTTCACTTTATGTTGAACGGCTTGGAAATTATCCGTTCAGTAAGCAACCTACAGTTAATTTCCTGCAAGGGTAAAATGATGTTCCTTAGAAGATTTGGAAGTACTACCAGCACTTTGTTAAATCTGAAAACTGCTGTTTTTTCTCTTCAGATGGTTATAAATGATACTCGTGCTATTGGAGTTATTTCAGCTTAACTGGGCAACTGCAGACACAGATCTGGTTAAACCACTTAAATTCAACCTGTTGAGGCAAGAGCCCTTGCAGCAAAATGAAAAATTATTTCTTATTCTGAGGACTTCATTTGTTTGATTGTTAATTTATATAATACTACTGCATCGCTACTATCCTTGTTAATATAGAAAAACTTTGAATCGACATTCTAGGATACGTTTGTCCAAATATGTGTCCAAATAACATATTATGTACGAAACTTTTCTGAAACATTAACAATTCATATTGAGATGATTTTGTTCTTTTTAATCTAAATTGTTCACAAAACGTTTTCTTTTGTACATGCAAAGTGCATTTACCTAATTTGCTCTTCTACTCAGGTACTCCAACTTGATCTTGAACTTATTTTCCCTCATGGTAGATGCCAACATTCCAGATATTGCTCTTGAGCCTGACAAGACTGTAAAAAAGGTAACTGGAAAGCTTTCCTTGTCCTTCAGTAACTAGACGCATAACTAGACTATGTTCAAAGTAACTACAAAAGTGCTTTTTTAGTGCTTTTTTTGTCTACTTTTTTTTTTTTTTTTTTTTTTTTAAGAAGAAGAAATATTAGGAAATCAGCTATAAAATGGCTGAGCAGCAGAAATCTTAAATCCATTGTAAAATTGTATAATTGTTAAGTAATCTTAATCCATTGTAGAAAGGTGAGCAGGTGATTTTTTAGATAACGTGTTAGAAAATTTGTCTTGAATATTTAATGCCCATTAGTCTGCCTGAAAGTAATTTTGAATTTTAGTTGTGCTATTAAAAAAAAAAAAAAAAAGAACAAGACTGTGTCTTTTATCTCTTGGGCTGAATGGTAGGTTTCTTTGGTCATTTAAGAAGTAAAGTAATACTATACCTTATTGTTGGAAAATTGAATAAAAGCTTTCAGTATTTCAGTTGATTTTTTTTGTTTGTTTGTTTCTTCTTTAAAAAAAAAAAAAAAAAAAAAAAACTTCAAACAAAAAAATCAATATATATTTCAGCAGACTCACATTAACTAAAGATCCTTTTTGGACTGACCAGTAAAATTAAATTATCTTTTTGTTACTCAGTAGCTGTTTCAACCATGATATTCTAGTGGAAGACAAAGATGGAGATTCACAAATACTTCTTTATCTAAAAAGGCATTCTGAATAGTAATGTTGATGGAATGTTGTAGACAGCACTTTTATTACCAGTAGTGTAGCAATACTTAGTCTTTTTTTTTTTTTTTTTTTTTTTTCTTTTTTAATACATATATATAGGTAACATTATCTTTGAGCTAGTTAGGCTCTGATCTTGCAGACAGCTGTCAAGTCATTTAGAAAATAAAAGATTGTTTTTGTTTGTTGATAAGTCAAGAGTACTACTTATCATTAAACTACAAGGAAACTTGTGTACTGTTTAAATTGTTCAGCACTCTTTAATGTTACAATTTTTCATGAGATACAGCTATATCCCTCTTGTGGCATAAGACAAACCAATTCATTTTGGCTTAATAAGATGAAAAAAGCAGGCAGTTTATAACATACTTACTGTATTCTGAGCAAATTCTTCTGCTGAACTGGTTCGGTGTCACGTATCTTTTACTATTGAAGCAGATATATTGGAGTGATATATCGAACTACATTGCATAGGGTTAAAGCAATAAGAAAGATTTTTCATGAATGACCATGTGATTCCTCAAAGCATTATGTTAGGCAATAGCTTGGGTTGCAGTCTAATCCATCACTTCACAAAGCAGCATAATGTGTCCTCCTTTTTTCTAATATGCAGGGAAGTACTCTAAGTTGCACAAAATACCTGCATGCTCGTGAACAATGAGATGTAAAAGCATACTGGCAAGTAAAATGTGGCATTAGAAATATCTATTATTTTATAAACTTCTAGAAAATAGTATTATCTTACAGCCTGAACGCGTGTTAAAAGTTTTATAATCATATAACTCTTCTACATGAAAATAAAATTTTCATATATGATACTATCATCATAAATCAAGGATCTTTACAGCCATTTTGTATGACTTCCTTTCTTATGCTTTTTTTGTCACCCCCTGTGGTGTAAGTTGATATAACATGATGCTAACTAATCAGGCTATAAAGGTGGTTGAAAGTTTGCCCTCCTTAGGTTTGGACCAAGTAGAACACAAAAGAAGACAGTAGAAAAAAAGTATTACGTGTTTTCCCTTTAACATGTCACTAGGTGACCTTAGTTTTTTAAAGCACTTTATTTCTACTGTGTTAATTGAGACTTTTTAGAAATATTTGAGTGCAAAAGACACTCTTAAGGAAAATAATATCCTAGAGAACAAGGGAAGGCACAGAGTCTTCAGAGTTGAAAGCTGTTTTTGCCAGAGAGTAATCTGCATTCCAGTAACATATTACATCCTGAGGAACTCTCAGAATGTAATTTTATAATCAGGTTTAGTATCTGTGAGAAAGCATATTGTCTGGGTGACATTTCTGTCCAGTGTTTCTGATACATTTTGGGAAAAGTATATATTGAGTTAAGACGGAATTGAAATAGCAGCTTCTCATGTACAACTTCCTGTAGAATAAGTATAGACTACATCTGCTTGACATGTTTTATGGCACAAGATGATGTAAGTGGAGTTGGGCTTTCTGTTCCTGTCATTTTTGAAGGTGCTTTCTCCTTCTTGTTCAAAAGAGACCAAGATCTACACAGGCTGATTTTGTTTATCAGGGAGATAAAGGCAATGTGGCTGTTTTCTTACTGTTAGCACAAAGTGTACCAAAAACTTCCAATGACTTCAGCTGGAGATGTGGATTTTGCATAACATCTATGTTCAGAAATTAAACTGGTGCAGTCTTTGGTGATACATTCTCACACATAAGAATGGACTGAAAAACAAATGTCCACTTTTGCTTTAGGTGGGGGGAGGACATTTGCAGTTTCAACTTTCATGATTATTCTTTCAGTATATATAGAATATTATTTTCAACCAAATATCCACCTTCACTTTGTACCCCAGTAATTCTTTGAAATTGAAAATATTGTTTCAGTGATTCATTTCCCTCAATCCAGTTTCATTTTGTGCTTTTTCCAATAGGAAAAAAAAAAAAAAAAAAGGTTACTACCAGGTACGCAAGTTGTCTCCACCCCATAAAACCATAGGAGCCCTTCTCAGATTTTTTTTTAATGCTTTGTATAACAATAAAACATGAATTTTTGACCAAGAAAAAAAAGAGAAAGTAGAAGCAAAGCTTAAAATTAGTTGTCTTTTTCAACCTTTTGTCTCCTTTTATACTCACTGTACTATTTATAAGGAAAATTGTCAGTGTAGTGTGCTTCAACTCATGGTTAATGATACCATCTCCTGCTGCTGTGCTCTGATTCAGGCTTCTCTGAAAACCTACTCTGGCTCAAAAATGTCAAAAATGAAGTTAAATTGAAAAGTAGTAGAAGATTCTTCCCAGTATATTCTCAGTTTCTCTAGATTCTGAAGCTATCACCTTTAAATTTTCCAGTCTTTGCTTAGTCTTTTCCACTTCTCATTTTCTTGGAAAAGGACTGAGCCAAAATCTGTTTAGGTTGACGTGTCAGTGAATATCTGATGGTACAACGCAAATCCAGTCCTACAGTTTTTCTGCCTCTGCTATTAACTAGCCTTTTTATTTTCTGTGCAGCTGCAATGCTTATTGCTAATAGTTAATTTTCAAAATTACATAATGCTCTAATTTTAAGGAGAGATAACTAAAATGTGCAGTGAATTATATAGCCAGCTTTGCCTAAGGAGGAAGTAGACTATCACTCTTCAGACATAATAAAAGTATTCAGTATTATAGTATTATCACCTTTTAACAAAAAAAAAAAAAAAAAAAAAAAAAAAAGGTTTTGATTTTTCTGCTGGAAAAGCCAGATGACTTCTGTCTGTCCTTCATAGCAAATTTGACCTTGGAATTAGAAAACATCAGGGACCAGTGATTCATTGTCACACAAAGAAGTGGGCAGGCATTGAAGGACAGTGTTATAATTGATTGAACTGTGTTTCAGATGCCCACTGATTAAAAGAAGGCACTGTAAAGATGCTGCAACTGTAGTGTTTATAAGTGAAGATAAGTGAAGGTGAAGGGAACATAGATGGCATAAATATTGTCTTCCTCTAAGCAGAAGGTAACTGCAGTTTGTGAAAGTAGTTCAATGTTTCTTTTACATTAAACTCATCAAGGTGAAATTACTCTTGTTCTACATAAGGTGGCAGACAAGGTTTCTGAGCTAGCTTTGTTTCCAAACCTGAGTTCATTTATGAGGTTTTTCTGTTTTTGTTCTTCTTTTTTCTCACCTGGATTATAGTAAAACTCCTTGTCCTCTTTCTTCTTCTTTATCACAATGGATAAATGAGAATTGAGTTTGCAAGTCAGTGGAAAGACTTCTAGTTTGTTGTCTGATATGCTTTTTTTTTAATGTGGATTTCTGTCCCTTTCCACCTAACTGAAGGTACTATTTGTTGAAAGATGGAGCTAGGGAACATATCTGAGTTTTATTAATATCAAGAGGAGATCTATGATTTCTATGTAGGAGAAATAAACTCAATTTTGCTTGGCTGGAATCTCTTGATTTCAGTATTTATGTTTACCTCCTCCTCTGAGGTTTATTCTTTGTAATACTGTCACAGTGACACTGAGCTCATTTTGCCTAGGTAGAAGTTCATTTGGGTAATGATGTTGCAGCTTTCCTGTTTATAGATTGTTGATTCTGCATATATATATTCATTTTGAAATCCAAAAAGGCTGGAATAAACCAGAGTGAATAGCATACAAGAATAGTCCTGTGTTCTTATTTCATTACGTTATGCTGTTTATTTGATTATTAGTACATATTTGGCCAATATTAGGAAATTCTAACATGTAACAGTGATCTTTGTATATTGCGTGAACTAAAACCCATATTTTTCTGTAAGATCAATTTAGAGATATCTTTACTGGCTTCTATGTGAAAACAGTAATGCTGAAGTTTATACCAGATCATTTGAAAACTATAATCTGTTCAAATCAAAGCCTTCAAAACAAAAGCTATTGTCAGGATAGCCTTTCAAATGAAATTATTCATGTGAATAGAGCATCTGAATAGTTTGTATCTTGAGTTGTTTGAACTGTGTTGTAATCAAGCAACAGAAAACAGAGAAAGCTTTTTGAAAAAGATAAAATGTGGTAAGGGTTAAGCCAAGAATGAAATTCCAGTTTCTGCTACATTAACACTGAATGCTGGCTATTATTATCATTTTTAGGACATAACAGTAAAAACTCAGAAAATCTCAATAAATTTTATTAATTTGTTGACTATCAAATGACTTTGAGGTTTTTGTAGTAGCTGATGCCTGCATCCAATGTGTACTGTCACCCAAAGAGAACACTGAAGTTTATCATACGTTTGAGTAGCCAACTTTGCAGTGAACAATTCTGTATTACAGTGATGAAATTAGCTAACAGCTAGATATCTAGATATGTAGCTAGTTATTGAAGTAAACTCCAGCAGTGGTACTTCATGTTGCTGTGAGAATACATGCAGTCTTTGGAATGGCTGGCTTGCAGTTAGTTTGAGAGTGAAATAGCATGAAGAGGGTTTTCTTATGTATGCAGTAAGTTAGCTCAAAAAATATTGCTACTTTTTTTCAATAATTCTGTCAGTTGTGTCTGCAGATTCATGAAACATGAATTTGGTTAACTGCACTAGTATTAATTCTAAACTGAATTTGAGTATGTTAGCAGTTGTGCAGTGTGTAAAGACTTGCTATATATGTAGGAATCAAACCAAGCACCCTATTTTTGTTACTGTGCTGTGTTTTCAGCTTGTGCTTGACATTCAATTTGGGGTAGATGAAGAAGCTGGCACTTAACCTAGTTTCTCCTCTTGTAGTGCTTTTCCCTTGAGTTTATTTCAGCAAGAGTTGATAAGCCTAAACCTACGGTTTTACATGTGATGATCCTGTTGCTAAGCAGTATTTACTCATGGTTATACTATAGAACTTGTTTTTGTTGTTTTGGCTTGCGACCTGCAGGAGTTTCCCTCTTCTCCCATATGTTCTGCAGCAAGTGATAGTCAGCTTTTATATTCCCTTCATCAATTCATTTGAAAGTAATTAATACTTAAATACTTATCCCTAAATTTCCACACTCCGATATTGTTTTCTGAGCAGTTCTGCTTAGTTCATCTTCATTACATCTTTCCCTTCTGAACTTCTAAGTCCTGTGAGTCCATGTAACTACATTCTTTTTCGTTTGTTTTGTTTTTTAAATTAAATTATCCAGTGTGCAGGTTGACAGAAAGTGGGCTACTTAAGATGCTAAAGTTCAATATTAGTATTTTCATAGATACTGTAGTTTATACTGTCTTGAAACCCATAACAGTTCAAGTTCTAATAATGAAACATGATGAAATACATTTAAAATTATTGTATGTATGCAGTTTGGGGTTTAAAACTTTCTTCTCTGGAAACAAAGCAAAAACTTAAATATCTTCATCAAATAAATTTATTTTCTCTTTGATTAAAACTAATAGCAAACTAATAAGAGCTATTTAGATGACAAAATGAGAACTCTTAGTAAATAATTCAAATTGAATATTTTTTTATATATTCATAGTGACAGTTATTCTTAGTTGTGTAAAATGAGGTAATTGTATAACTCATCAGAACGTGACCTCCACAATTGCATAATATCATGCAAAAATCTTTTGCTAGTTGCACATCTAAAAGCTACTGGCTTTTAGAATACATGGTTTACTTTGGAGCTGAGAGATTTCAAATAACAATTACTGTTGGTTTTGTTACAAGAACCATAAGTCAATGTATATTAAATTTGTTGGTGATGTTACAGCTCTGGAGGTAATTTGTCACCATGCCATACTTCTTCTCAGCTAGGTTGCAGCAGTCATTTTTAATTGCAGTGCTGAAAAACTTTCAGGTAAGGATCTCATACTCGGCAGCATTTGATCCTGCTGTTACTTGCAAACTGATTTTAGAATCTAACTGTGGGTAAATCCACATACATAAGCATCCCAGTCTGCTCCTGGGGAAGGTGGGAAGTAGCCTAGTCATTAATCCCCTAGAGTAAAGTAGCATCATAACATCAGTAACTGCATGATTTTGAGTTCTTCTGTGAGCAGATCGGAAAATAGCTGAAGTGCTTGAAGACTATAGTTAAAAAGTGATAGTGTTTGTGGAATTGTTTTTATGTTTCTTGGAAGCTGCAGTTAGAAATTTGCCTAAAATCTCAAATCACCTTTCCAGTAAACATGAAAATAATTATGATGGAAGCCTATGGTTTTCGCTGGGGAAGTATTTAAGCTTGTGCATAGTTGCAAGCATGTGAAAAGTCCATTAAGTCCAGTTGGATTCTATTTCGCATCTTACTGTCAAACTTCTAACATGTATGTGGGAGATAACAAACACTTACTATGAAAATAGAAGTTTTACAGTATTAGCCTGAAGTACTCTCTAATTCCCTTCCTGCTGTTTGCTTTCTTGAGATTTTGAATGTTTCCATCTTAATCTATCCTTCCATACTGATCATACTCCTTTTTGAGATAATATTGCTGAAGAGTTTAATTTTTTGTTGGTATGTTGAAAGTAAGAATAGAGTTGTGACTATATTTTGAGTGCAGCAGTGTTATCTTTCCACACTTGGCCCATTAACTTAGGCTTTTACTGTAGTGCTGTAAGGTACTTCTCGAGAATACTTTGCTTTTGGAAAGAATGCAGAGTAATAATTAACTGAAATCTTAGATGGTTTTGTTGTCATAAAAAAAAGGGTGGATGCATATATGGTATCCTTCATGTGTAAAAAGGATACAAAAGGGAGAGAGAAGATTATGATCTCTCATTAATATGGCTTTATTAAGAACATTGCTAAAATAATTTCGCATTTTTGTCAATGCATAAACGTAAATGAATAGAAAATGTTCAAAAGAACATTTTGGCTTACAGTCTGTCTTCATTCTTACCTGGGAGAAGTTCTAGAAGAAACTTAGGTCTTTGACATTTGCCTACTTGAGAGATTTGTGGAGTTCTTAAAAAAAAAAAAAAAAAGCAATGAGCTCAACTGTCAGAGATGGAAAACAGGGAAGTTTGGATAGGAAATAAGTAACAATTTTTACGTAGGCAGTTAATCACTGAAACAACTTTTTGCACATGCATCACATCGTAAAACCTAGAAATTATGTTTTGTTATTCGTAGTACTATATCAATTCTTTCCATCAGATTATTTGAACTCATTCAAAGTACTTACTTATGCACCTGACTCTCATAGTATGTTCTTGAGGGATAAGAAGTATTGTCTACGAAACTTACTTAGCTCCTGAGAAGCAAATTTTTTGCTTTGTTTTAGATATTTCAGCTCTTGCCAGTTCTGTGTACAGAGGTTTTGAATACTAAAGGAAAAATCTGCAAGTCTGTAGTAGGAGTGCTTATGAGATGTTGCCATCTGGAGCAGTCCTGAACAGTCGCCTTGAAATTAGTTGGAATTCACAAAAAGGCATCCGCTATGCCTTTGTAAATATTAATGGATCACAGTTATTGCCATGGCTGAAATAGGGCAGTATAGATCTTTTTTTATTACACTGCTTTTGTCTTTTAATTTATATACAAATTGCAGTTAACAGGCAAAATGCTTTATTTGTACAATGGATACAATTTTTAAAATATGTTGCTTTAAAAGAAAACTGTATGGAATATTAGTGTCTCCATCTAGCCATTCATGGAGATGGTGTTGGGAGGGTTTTCTTGCTTTTTTAAATGCACATTTTAATGAAGCAGTTCAGAAATCTGGCATTTTACATAAACGTTGCTAATTGCCAGTAATCTGCTGTAATTTAGAAGTTAAATAGATTATTTACTAAAATTCTACAGCTTTAATGCTAATGTCTGCTACTGTTAGTTCGGATACAATAGTGTATGCTGTAACTGTTGAATTAAATTCATGTTTGACATGAACATCCCATTTCAGGTACAGGACAAGTTCCGTTTGGACCTTTCTGATGAAGAAGCTGTCCATTATATGCAGAGCCTAATTGATGAAAGCGTCCATGCCCTCTTTGCAGCTGTGGTGGAACAAATTCATAAGTTTGCACAGGTGAGATAGCTTCTTGGTGTTTTTTTCTGAAAACTGAGTGAAGTCAGATTCAGAGTGGTAAGTCCAAGACTTCATTGTTACCACATTTTTCAGCAAGTTCAAAATGTATTCTTGCTGACACAGACTGCAGAGCAAGTTCTCAATGGTCCTAGAAAATTCTTTAAAGCACTTAGCAAACATACTTGTTGGGATGTAACTGACTGCCTTACCAGTTCTACAAGAATTCTACAAGAGAAAAATAAAGAACTCTTGTATCTTTCATTCCCACAGTAAATGAGTGTTGATAGATTTCCTTCCTTTCCTACCTCTGATAATTCTTGAGCTGAGCATTGCAACTACTTACCTCTATAATTAAGGCAGCAGCTTGCACAACAGGGTGCGTAGGAGGGGCCAGGGTCTCTGCTCAAAAATCATCCACATTCTCTTCAGTAGTGATATCCCTGTTACGTTAGGCACCTCAAAACAGGAAGAGTTCATTCAGGAATGCAGCTTGGCCTGAGATCTTGTATTGGGAGAGTGGGAAAAGGGCTACTTGCTTCCAGAAGATGTCAAGTAGTGGAGGATCTGCATCACCAAGTAAAGGAGCAAAATATTGTCTCTTAATAATGAAGTTTATTCCTGCTAGAGTTTGTAGACTAAAGTTGTTAACCGTATTTATGACTGCTATCCTACTGTAATTCATAGTAATTAAAAAAAAGTTAAATATTTGAGTGAAGTTATGCTAACAAAAAATGTTTTTTCCTTACAGCTATTAAAGTTTGTGCTTATCAGAGATTTAAGATTTTGCAGTACTTGAATATTAGACTCTTGAGAAGAAATAGATTTGAGAAAAAAGATAAAAGTGGTTTCAAAAGCTAGACATACTGATATTTTTTGAATCCTTCAGAAGAGAGATCAAAAACTGATAAAATCAGATGTCCTCAGTCTCTGTGGCTATTCATACTGCTAAAGGAGTTCCAAAGAATTTACTGTTCTGCGAATTAATTTTTTATTTTGAAGAACTTCATTACAATGCAGGGGAGAAAGTAAAAATGTCACTTCCGTCTTCCTATGTATTTTATAAAGGTGATTTTACATTTTTGCTTCAAAATTTGTTATATATTATGGATGAATTCGATCATAGGTTGTGGAATGGTAATTTTATAAAGTGAAAAATGCCTAACACCTCAGGATCTTATAAATAAAAAAGGCCTTTATAAAGATCCAAGATTAAAATTTTCAAGTGCCTCCAGTATGTGTGTAGACCTTTCTTTTAATCACATACCAACAGTGACTTTTTAAGACATATCTTTTTACTTCGTTGGTATTAGGTGACTGCCAGTCTATACCACGTAATTGTTATTGCATTTGTGAAGCTGTTTCAGTAAGTCAGAGTTTATGGATCTGATTTAGTTGACCTTTTCTTTTTCCACTCAGACTTATTCTAGCTTGACCTTTCTTCAACCCTTACAACTGCTTTTATAATCGCAAGACAGATTTGTTTGGAATACATAAAGTAACCAAGAATTTGAACCTGAGGCTTCTAGATCTAGAATGGTGTTTTAAGCAACAAGCTGTTTTTCATGAGGCTGTGAACTTTGTGTGTAGAGTTTGTGCTGCTGTAGTGTTTGACATCTATGTCCTTTAGCTTTTTTTTTTTTTTTTTTTCTATTTTATTTCCTGGGTTATGTGCTTTAAATATTTTAGCCCCATGTGATACAGGAGTCTTCTGCTAGTTTTGGAGTTCTGATTGTTGCCTTCATTCATACGCTCTAAATAGCTACAGCTGCAGGCTTCCCCTTGCAAGAACACTGGATGCTTATCTGTGTGAGGATACAAAAAGAATAGTCACAGATGAATTGGCAGTTCATGAGTATTAACATTCTAGAGACTGTATTAAAAAAAAAAATCAAAATGAAATGTGTAAGTTTATTCTCCTTATATTACAAAATGAGAATAGGACACTTTGTAGTGATACTTACTACTTCAATAGTCAAAATTTTCTGAAGCTGTCTTCTTTTTAAGTATTTGCTGTTGAAGTCTTCAGAGTCTCTAAATTGTTGAACAAATGAACAATTAATGCATCATTGAATTTGCAGTAGTCACCTTACACAGTGGCTCGTTGAAGCTTTCAGTTTGTTCATGTACAATACTGCATTGAATTGCTGATGATCTTCCTCTAAATAGTCATAAAAATTGTCTCAAAAAAAAACCCCAAACAACCTATGCAGGTGTAATGGTACTCACTTAAATAGTGAATTAGGTCCTAAAACACCACAATTTTCCATTTTTGAAATGCCGTCAAGTTTTTATTGTTGTTGTTGTTGCTGTTTAATTTATCAATGGGTATTTATTCTCCTTCTGCTTCCAAAATAGCCCTTTAGGGAATCTGTGCTTTCCACTGCAACTGTTAAGAGCTTTTTAATAAGGTTGGTTGTTGCAGTAACCATTGTGTATGAACACTCTATATGTCACTCTGTAGGTAGCAGTGTTCTTCTGTAAAATAGACTAGGTATTCTGGCATCAGCATGGTAGAGTTCTCTTGTAATAAAATTGTGAATTGGATTCAGTTCATGTGAAGCCTTTAGTTTCTAATGTGTTATTAGGTATTTTACAGACCTTTTTATGTGGTATTTATTCCTAGTGGTTATCAACGAACTCTTGTCTTGATGTAAATAAATTTAATATTTAGAATAAGTAAATCGTGCTGTACTGCATTGCTTAAGATGAGAAAAAGTGCGTAGTAATTTCAGTTGATATTAATAAAAACTGGATAGCTTTTTTTCCCCGGAAAGTTGCTTTTATTTTAGCATTATTTCTGCAGAAGGGGAAAGCACTCTCTATTTGGAATAACAAACTTCACATTTGTTCCTTGTGAATATACAACTCAGATCAGTTGTATCCTGGGTTAATGTTAAGCATTGACTTTTAAAAAGGGAAAACATGGAAGATGAAGAGAGTCCTACCTAAAATGTATTTGTGCAGCTGGGATTGTACTAATGGCTGTTCTCTGTAAAGGAGCAAACTCAATTTAGACTATAAATGTGAAGAGGCTTTAGGATATCCCAAAGCTGTGTTCCCAGTATTGCTACATCCCAGAATGTAGTAGTGATTCTTTTTACTCGAGACAGTGCTTCTGGTTTTATCCTTTTGGTGGGATCCAGATTTGCTTGCCAGAATAAAACGTGGAATATCCACCACCAGGACTGTGTACATTGCATGATACTATTTGTCCAGTGCGAGGTAGAGTTGATTTCTCAGTTGTCTGTTCTCTTGAAGGATTGTGAAAATCACCTGCCTTTTTGGGCAGCAATTTTCAGTGTCTTTTAAACCTAGAATTCAATTTACTCTTAACTTTGGTTTCTAAGAGTAAGTAAAGGTTGAACAAATTCCTGTTTTTGTTTTTGTTTTTTTTTCTCTTCCCTTTTAGTACTGGAGAAAATAAGCCCTTTCCAGTGGGAGGAATCAAGTCTTGGAAAATATTCAAGAATAAACTTCTCAAGCCTTTATGGATTTCACCAAACAGTTTTGAAAGGCAGAAGTTAAAGACTTGGAAGCGTGGAGAACTGAGAGCTCAGAAGAAGCTTTTTGAGTCTTTGTTCTCTGAAGGTTTAAAAATAACCTTTTTTTTTTTTTTAAAGAATGTTATTTATACCATCCATCATGCATGGGTACTCTGGAATTTCTTATGAGCCTCAAAGGTTGATGTACACAACTTCCTCCCAGTTCACCTGGAAGATGCTGGATTTGATGGCAATATTTCCATATTTAAAAATCAAAATAGTTACTGTACTGAGATGTGTATGTACAAAGTGCAGCACTGAGGTAACTGTTCCTCACTGCAGAAAAACATGGGATCGTTAACCACTCCTCTCCTCCTACCAACTTTATTCCAGCAGTAAGTTTTAAATATAATTTGTATGATCCTTTCTTTCCGACCTTGGGAAACGTTATCGTTTAGAAAGGACAATCATTTCTTCCCTGCTTACAAAAATGTTTTTATCTGCTGATAAGTTAGCCAGCTGTAGGCAGTCAATTAAATGATCGCTAACCAGCTCAGCAACCGTAATGCACAGTGAGCAGTTCAGTATTTCACACTTTAACTCTGAATGTTTTCTGTACAGTGATTATATATTCTTGACTCTAATAAACTCTTTGTTATTACAGTCTTGGGTTGTTCTGTATTGTCTTTTTAATCTTACCTGCTGAGACGTGGCAGGCGGTTATGTTTTTAACTCTTAGCTTTCTGAAAGGATTTTCACCACTGAGTTTTCTCGATTCAGGAATAAATTGACTTTTTTGCCAAATATTGAGTGCTTATTGAATCTGTTTTGAATAGTCAGAAAAGTAATAAGTTCTTCATAAATGTATCCTTGCAAAAAGTGCTGTTTTACTTCTTTTTCAATAATTATTTGTCAGGAGGAAATCCTTCCCAGTTATAAGAAGGACTGATTTGGTTATGAATCTGCTATTTGTGAAGCAGGTCTTGGTCTTTGCTGCTTCTACTAACAAACAGAATTGCTTTGATGGAGGAAGATCCACTAGAGCTCTAATAGGCCCACAGTTAATTCCAGTGTATTACCCAAATTTGCTTGTTGCACACAACATTGGTTAAAACCTGTCTTCCTCATGGTCTGTGCTACTCAGAGAATCTGTATTACCCTGATCTCTTTGTGTTTGCATTAGCTGGCAGAACTGCCGCAGAGCAGCCACAGCAGTACCTCCTATCTTTAGGTGACTCTTCTTTAAAAGAGTACTAATTACCATTGGTTGGTTGCAGTGGTTGCTGTCTTGTTCATCTGACAGAGATACAAATTACATGTGTTTTCTGTTACTGCACACAGTACTTTGCAATATATTTCTAAGAAATTTTTGAGAGCAGGGTGTTTTCAGATGCTTAGAGAAAACTTTACCCCGAAAAACGAAAAACTTTTCTGTCTTTTAAAATTATTTTGAAGGGGCATTCAGTATGCTCGTTCAGCTTAAGGACTTGTGTCATGTAGGCAGGAGGAAATAAGGAGTTTTGTTTTAAATGAAAAGTATCTTTTTCAGTATGTTAGTTTAAAACCTTGACCAACAGGTGTAAGAATGTTTAGTTTAACTAGTTTTCTATGTCTCTGTCTCCACGTAATCCAGTGGGAACATTGTGTTCATCTCCAGTAAGTTCTGAATCTCTTGAATAGCTCCTCAGGTTAATGTCGGACTGTGTTTTCACTCTGAACATACATTTTTGTTAAAGGGAGAGGGGGGAATGAAATGGTGCATAGAGTGGGACTGTGAGCTCCGTCAGCAGAGCGTGACACAGTTGTTGGTGGGAAACAGGACTGTACCAGCTGTATCCCTGTGTAACTTGTCATGTTATCCTATTAAACCTCTGCAGCAGAGAAGATAAATACAGCAGATGAAAGACTGTTTGTATTTTGTATAACTAGAGACACAGCATTAGGAAGTCATCTTGTAAGTTCTTTTCTTTGCCTTTCAACATTCATGTTGGTCTTGGTTTTTTTTTTTTTTTTTTTTTTTTTTTTTTTTTTTTTTTTTTTTTTTTTCCTGTAATCTCTGTTGATGTTTCTGTTGGGCTTGAAAGTGAGAAAAGCAAAATAAATGATTCCATGTATTCATGTTTTCTACTCTGCCTATGCAGTCATGTTTTGTTTCAATTCCCAGTGCTTCAGGAGCAGAAAGTGACACAGAGTGTATACATGTGTCTGTGTATATATGCGTATATGAATGTATATTTTATTTTTTTGTGGAGTGAGAGTGTGTGTGTAAAGCAGTAACTGGTGAAAAAGGTATTTCACAGGGTGGGAAAAAAGAAGGAGGCTGCTTTAATGTAAGGAGTCGTGCATCCTTTTAGCAGGAATTGTTCCTGTTCTTATAGACAGCTGTGTGACTTTTTCTTGCATGCAATCTAAAATAAGAAGCACTTCTGCAAGAGCTTGGGGGAATGATAGTTTGGAAAAGAGGCGGAGGAGCAGAAAATGGATATCTTAACACCTCACAGTGTGCTCGTAGAGCAAAGAGAGGTGATGTTGCTGAATGACCTGTCCTTTGTAGTCAGCAGAGGTTTTACTTACATGACCCAGTATAATCAGTCAATGATAAAATATAGTGGTTATTATGAAGTAGCTGAGTGCATACATTTATGGTATCTTAAGGGAGTCATTGAAAACAGATTGCTGGTGGATTGTGTTAAAATAAATTTTTGTAATCCCTTCAGTTGATGTGGTGATTCTTTGTAATAGTGAGACTGCTTGAAGTACAATATTTGTTTCGTCCTGTCTTTCCAAGCTTCTGTGATTTAAAAGAGGCTTTGTCTTGAGGGGAGAAATCTCACTTTGGAAAGGAAACTACTGAACCCTCACTTGTTTCTGGAGTACCAAGCAGTGAATTGGTTCACCTGCATGGATTCTAATCTGAAACAGCAGGAATGCTGCTTGGAGAGGAATTTGTAGCTCATCTGCACACAAAAATTAGTAAATTAAGCTGGTGTGATCTTTTCTGAATTGGGTTAAGCTGTATGGCAGTGGGGCATGAAACATCTCCACAATTAGAAGTTGTGCAAAATGTAGCAAAACCAGTTTAAATTCTTTCACGTGACAGAACTGTGGTAAGCCTAATCTTTTCCCCATCCCTCTCTTTATGCTGAAGGATCAGAAGAAGGTGATTTTTCAGAATTGTTGAGGGGAGGACAATCAGTTCATAAATTGCAATATACAGAAAGTAAAGAAATAATAAGGGAGGATTGAGTCAATATGGGGTGCTCTGGGGAGCTCTGAGATTGCTTCTTCCATGGGCAGGCTGTTAAGTATTCTTCAGCATGCAATCCTCACAGTCATGACCAAGAATGGCACTTTGGCACCTTTTCTATCTTATCAGGTGTTTAATTGGAAAACGTAACTGATGGATCATACAGATGCACATTCCACAGAGTCAAAAAAAAAAAAAAAAAAAAAAAAAAAAGTTTCTTCTGTTCTTGATCAATAAAATAGGAAGATTATTTTGTGCAGTCTTTTCCCTAGTATTTTCTTTCACTGGGAAATGGACTGTAAAGTTAATTGTCACTAAAGGCTTTTTTCCTGCCATGCCTGTCTAATATAACATCTCTGGCTGATTAGAGACTGAAGGACCCACAATGTGAAAGAAAAATGGCTTTTTAAAATAGGTTTATTTTCTGGCACAGTCATACGTAGACAGCTTCCTAGCTGAGAATATGGAGATTAGTCAGCAAGTGCAACGTGCTGCACCACGATCAGTGCAATTCTCAGTATGTGAATAGATTGAGAGTAGAACTCCCTCACAGCAACCCTGTGGAAAAGGACTTAAGGGTTCTGATGGATGAAAAGTTTGACACGAGCCAGCAGCGTACACTTACAGCCCAGAAGGCCAATGGTAACCCGGGCTACATCTAAAGAAGGGTGGCCAACAGAGAGAAAGGGTGATAGTCACTCTCTGCTCTGCCCTTTTGAGATCCCTGGAGTACTGCGTCCAGTGACCGCAGCACGAGAAAGATGCAAAGCTTCATGGAACAGGTTCACAGGGTCCACAGAGTTGTTGCGGCCTTGCAGTGCTTGAAAGGAGCTTATAAACAGGAGGGAGACCAAATTTTCACATGGGGAGACAATGATAGAATATGGATGAATGATTTTAAACTAAAAGGGGGGTTAAATGTCATGAAGAAAATTTTCTCTGAGTGGCGGTGAGGCACAGGAACAGCGCTCCCAGAGAAACTGTGGACACTCCATTCCTGGAGGCGATAAAGATATGGGCTGCCAGCTTCTCCAGGAGAATATTGTGATGTGTCAAACCAGGTAGATTACATCTGCCCTAGGTAGACTACATCCTTTCCCTCATCCAGCAGGCTGATCACCTGTTAAGGAGATCAGGTTGGTTGAACAGGACCTGCCTTTCATCAGCCCATGCTAGCTAGGCCTGATCCTCTGCTTGTCCCTTGTAAGCCGTGTGATCTCCCTCAAGATTATCATCACCATTAACTTCCCTGATCAGGCTGTCTTAGACTGACTTAGAAAAGTCTCTGCTCCTAATAAGGTGCTCATAAACTTCTTCCCTTTGAACTTCAGGTAGAATTACCCAAATTCTATGGCTACATCCAGGTATAGAGAGGTGCCTGTGTGTCTTACCAGCAAGTCACAGCTCCCCAAGACAAAGGGCACTTTGTCACTACTACAGAGACAGGGCTGCTTTTTTCTAATACAAAGTGGATTGGTTTTTTTCCTTTTTTGGTGATGTCAGCTGTGCTCACTCAGTCCTGTCTGTAACCTTTCTAATGCAGTATCGTTGTCAACTGACATAAGAGGAATTCAGAGAGGTATGTGATGATAGCACAGCACCTCTAGTACCAGCTTGCATTCCCAGAAATAGGTTTCTGTTTCACCTTTTCTTTTTCCCTTAGGTTGTCCCTGCTGAGAGCCATTCTCATGTGGGTAATTTTCACTTCTGATGCTCACCTCTGATATGCAGTAACTGATACTAAATTTTCTGACCCAGAAGTGGAGGGGAAGACAATTGATGCTGTAATGAATCTGATCCATTCACAGGCCCAAAGGGCGAGGATAGCAGTGTGCATGGCAGGAAGCTTTCCTTTTAGAAGTGTTTCAGATGAGGTTTCTGACCAAATTCCAATAAGGCTTTACACCACAATTAAATTCAGATTCTTTTTCCAAAGGAAAGCACAGCAACAATGAAAAGTTTGGTATGAAAGATGAGGTCTTTTCAGAGATAAAATATATGGCAGAGAAGTGTCTACCTCAAGAGCAGTAATTGTTGAAATAATGAATTAAGGGAAAAATAGTGGTGTTATGTTATAAGGAGGTGTTTTGTCTTAATCACAAATGAGATTACAGATTTTACCTCCAGTTTTGCTTCACATTTGGTGAATGCTCCTTTTGAAATGAGAGTTGAGCAGAGAACAGTTACAATTCTGGCTGTGGCTTTCATTGTCGATTGGCCTTGAAGACTTTTCACTTTACGAACTCCAGTTTCCCTCTGAGCTCTGTAAACTTGGTGGTGCAAACCCATTTTTAGCTTCTCACACAAAAGTACCATAGCTTGGGGCTCTAATTACAGACAGATCTGGGAAGTGCCATTATAATCTGCCAAGCAGCAAATCGTTTTGATTGTGTTTTACATTCAGCCTTGGTTTGCT